TCAAGAAGCCATCACTGGACCCAACATTCTGGACAATTTACCTATTTAGGGAAGGTTTTTGAGAAGGGGGCTGGGCTACAGCTTCATAGGACCCTGGAAGAAACAGATTATCTAGACCCTTTCTTATTTTTCAAAGTAATAGTTCAAAACCATTGAAGAACAGCTTTGGGAAAACATGGAAATATAGCAGAAATTTGAGAAAGTCCATGCCAGGGTAAGCAATTTGAGATCCCAATGTATGGCTTTAAACACACACATGCAGGACATTACATAATTCTACTCTTTGTAAGTACCAGGAGAATTGCCTGAGGAAATCAGTTGAGAATTTGAAATAACCAATCAAAGGTGAAACATATCCATCACTCTCTGAAAATGAGAGCTATTCTGAATATAGAAACTCTCTGTTAGCACAATCATTTTTATTCACAAGAGTACTTTTATAAAAAGAATTGTGCCCTACTGACATAATTGGGATTCTAAAAGTTTCTCAACTGGTTTCTACACTTAAGGGACTTAGAGCCTGCAAGGACAAACCAATGCTTCCTGCCTGAAAAGGTATTATTGTTTGAAGGCCTTTTCAAACAAGCATCACATTCTACTTGGAACAGCATTCACTTGAATCATAAACCAGGAAGGTGGTTGCTCCAAGCAAAATAAATGTGAAGAACTGCTGAAAGATACAGACAGAAAAGCGTACCCGTCTCCCTTAATAGTTGCTTTGCAGGCAAATAGAAAATGAGCTTTAGCTTTTCTTCATTCCCTGGTTAGGGGGTAGGGTATAGCACATTTTCCACTTTTTGCCCTACAAGGCTTTCTCCTTTATTTTGGAATGAGTAAACCAAATCTTGAACTTTATCAAAAATAAGCAATGTTCAACATGCTGTTCCCTCAGCCAACAAAGCTGATCCTATCTGTTCTGCAGGGGTATCTGCAAGGAGGGGGTCAAAAATGAAAAAAAAAAAAGTCAAGGTGGTGGTCACAAACATCAATATGGCAGCCTCATGGATGCAGCGGTGTCCTCAGGGAAGGTTCAAAAAGCCAAGATGGCAACCCCATGGATTTTGATTGATGGCTTCTATCTTAACTTTTTTGACTCCCTTCCCGAGGACACTGCTGCATTCATAAAGCTGCTCTCAGCCTCTGTTTATCGTCCAAGGCTGAGGAGGGTTGTGGAGAAAAGCTGGACTCACTTAAACTCCTACCATTGACAACAGGACTCTGGTTTGTCCAACACGATTGCCCAGCATGTCTGCACTTTGTTTACATCCTGTCAATATTCAGTATTTTTATTTCTTCAAATTATTCTTTGATTTAAAACAAAAACAAAAAAACCCCCAAACCAAAAACCAGTTTCCAGGTTATTTGGATTGGATTCAGAGTCAGGGAAACAACAAAAAAAAAGCAAACACAAAGAATAACAAAGATGCAAAAATGAACAGACTAGGAGAGCAGCATATTTTATATTTTTAGTAAGAAAGGAAAGCTAATGCAAGACTGCCCTCTTTCGGTAGTAAGACCAATAAACATGAGCAAGAAAGATAAATATCCTTAAAATCCTTATAAACATTTTGCATATGACGGACAATTGTTTTCTTTTTTTAAAAAAAGTGCCATATTCTGCAATTATTTCCTTGTGTCTTCATTATGTAGTGAATATACATAAGGAGAATCTAGGACAACGGTAATTCTCATGTACTATATGTGTGTGTGTGCACACACACGTGTGTGTGTGAGAGAGAGATCCCTAAAACTAAGATGCCCCCCCCCCCAAATTTACCCTAAAAGAAAATTCAAGAGACTTGCACATTTGCCTAAACACAAATCCATAATAGAACGGTTACACCAGTATAATTTCAAGAGATTGCCAACTATGGAGCCTTAAGGAAGCAACAGGTTTTTTTTTACCACAGCAGCCTGCAAATCCCAAATGGGCTAAAATGTTATGTAATAAGCCTTTTTTTTTTTTTTTTTACTTTTTTCAGGTGCCTTCAAGTCAGCTTTGATTCTTGGCAACTACATGGACAATTCCCTGCAGTTAGCAACATTTTTGGAGGTGTTTTGCCCTTGCCTGCTTCCTAGGGCTGAGAGTGACTGATCCAAAATCACCCAGCTGGCTTGGTGCCTAAAACAGGACTGGAACTCACGGTCTCCTGGTTTGTAGCCCAGAGCTTTTAACTGCTACACCAAACTGGCTCTCAATAAAGCTCATAGCATGGAACTATTTGAGATGGGGGCATTTCACTAGATAAATTAGATGACAACTTTTTACAGATATTGCTCAATTAGCAATCACACACAGGGATGGGGATGAAGGTACTCATTTTCAGACACATTTGCCCAAGGTAGTCCCTGATAATTAGGCTCCTTCTGCAATCAGCTCCAGCCTTACAGCCACGGCAAAGCCCTACCTTTGGACTGAGTGAGGTTCCAGCTTTTGTTCCTAATTCAGAAGCACAGCTAGTGGTTTGAAAATACTCGCATGCTGTATGCTGATTTTACTCTTTTGTTTAAAAAGCACCATACTGCACTCAGCCGCCTAAAACAGCTAAAGCCCCTGCTAAGCTGCTTGTATTTTTAGAAGTAGAAACCATTTGCACAACACTCAGAGAGCGGATGCCTTTTTCATTGTAGGTCAGCATAGAGAATACAGGAAGATTGGCTCTCTGCAGAGCCCAAGTTGAAATAAGTACACTGTATTAGGCTGAGCGCATTTCCACGAGTTTTTTGCTAAATAAACCCTAAGAAATGCACTCACGACTCGCTATGGTGGGGGAGGGAGAAGAAACAGGAACAAGGAAAGTCCAGTGAAGATGTGCTAAAATGTATCTCCCCAGCTGGCAAATGAGGGAGTTATTCAACCCTCTTCTGTTTACATTGAGCAAAAATGATCTGGTGTCTTCATCCAAGAATTTATGTTTGCTCTGAAAGAACAGGGAGCCTGCCAAAGCAGCTTTGAGGAAATTAAATGCCAAGGAACCTGGAGATGGCAGGAGTTCCTAGCCATGGGATTCCAATCACCCACAGCTCTGGAGCAAACACTACAAAATTCTTCTCACATTTTCTTTGTAGTAGTAGTTGAACTGAAAGTTCATTGGTTCAATTTACAAAAACCTCTGAAAGCAGCAGAGCATTGTGACATCATACAAGCACACACCAACCCTGTGAAACAGGCCTGAATTTTTAATAGACTGATATTTACCTAACAAAAGACTTATAACTTATAAATTAACTTATAATTTCCATGCTTTTTGTAGCAGCCATTTATTTAGAAGGCATTTAGTTCTTTTTTTTATGTGCAATTTTCTAAATTATAATATCCATACGAATTATATTCTGGCTCCCACAAAAAGGGATATTCCTGCAGTATTCGTAAAATTTCAACGTGATTTATGCTAGAAAATGGAGAAATGGCTATGGAGACATTCTGTGTAATGTATTAATATATATATGAAAATGAGCCAATCTTTACCAAAGGTAAAGACTTGGGGAATTGTCCCAGGAACCACAATGAACAAGGGGAAGAGTTAATACCCTTTCCCCTCATAATTTTGTTTCCATAGCTTAATCTTAATAGCATACGTACAATTAACACCACATGGTAAGTTCTGAAAGTACCTTTTACAGTGAATTGGTCGTAAGTCTCCTTTTTCAGCACCGTTGTAACTTTAAACGGTCGCTGAGCGAGTGGTCAGTAAGCGAGGACTACCTGTATTAATGTTTTAATGCTGTCAAATAATGAAGATATGATTTTCCCATAAAAAGCATGCAGCTGGTCATGTATGTATGAATGTTGCTTAATTAAATGATATGAAAATGGAGCATTCTTAAGAGCAGTTAAGATACTATAAAGGTTACTGCTAGCATACTTTAACAAATTATATGTCAATAATGCAGCCTAGGAAAAATGTAGTTCATAATAAGTCATTCGAAAACCTAGCCTCAAGAGTATAGGAGTTTTTCATTAACTGAAATCTGAAATATTCCACTCACGCATACATGTTTTGCAACATCTATTTTGCATCTTTGCTTTAATATTTCCAAAGTAACTTTAATACACTGCTGATCTAGTTCAATAATTTTGGATGTAATAGTTGTAGCCCCAAAGTTACACTGTATACAAATTGGAATGCCTACCATAACCTTACAGAAAATTTTGTGAAGGTTTACCCTCAAGGAAATTGTCATGAAAGAACATCAGGATTGGCTTACCTCTATCAAGATTCAAAGACAATCTATCTCAGAACACCAAAAGGGATGGCTATCTCTCATTACCTTTTTATGAACATCTTAGTATAATTTGGTTAGACACCCTGATATACAAAATACTGGATCAAATGGAATTTTGCTTTGATTATAAAACATAATTGTGATAACACAATGCAAATAAAAAGATCACAGTGACAGATGAAGAAAGCTACATTACACCATGGACATACCTGCCTTGAAAATTTATTAAAAATCAAAGAATACAAAACTTCACATAAAAATATGTATTTTTAGCTTCCCACATTGTTATTACACACAAAAAAGAATCTGAACATGATATTTTAATCAGCCATCCACAGAGGCATTGAATGTAACCAGAGTGGTAGCCAGTGCAATTTATGGTTAATCATGACTGAATGGGACATGATATCTGCTTCTTTTAAGTCTATCCTGCTTTTAAATGGAACTACTTAGAACATCAATATTTCAATAATGTAGATTCATAGTAATATTGCTAGCATGTAGAATGACTATAGGTCTATAATCAGCCCTTGAATGGTTTATTCAAGTTTAGATCTCTTACTGTACCAGATTCTACTACGAGCCTTTCAAAAGGTTGAAAAATAATCAAAGCAAAAATACTGATTCCATTATCGAGCTGAGGTTTTGGCAATTCACAATCTGCTTACTATTTATTTGTTGTACAATTACTGTTCACCTGAAGTATTATCAACCTGAGGTTGATAATATTATCAAATGTTGCTTTGGGGAAGGAAGGAATCTTCAGGAGAGGCTTTTTTTTTTTTTTTTTTAAGGGGGGTAGTATACTTAAGGAGCTTCAGTATAAGAGGGGCATAAAAACCCGTGTATGTATAGAACATAGTTTGATGGTTCAAGAGTTATTCCCAGAGGAAATAATATATAACCTGTGATAAGGAGTATGACTGGGCAACTTGCAGATAGAGATAAACAACCACAGTGTACATTTTCAGTAATTGTCTTGTTCATATTTTCCTTATACTTGCAAACTTCATATATCTTTCCATACAGATGCTGGCTAGTATAGTAAACCTTGTATTTTATGCCTGTCTTTCTGATTATCTTACAATCAATTTAAAAGATATTTAACACTAGATCAAGATGAATTGTAGACAAAATGTGCTACTCTGCTTTGGAATGTTGCAATTTCTTCTCTAGTGCTATTCAAAAGCCCTGCATTTGTTTTGAACATTTTTTCTAGCATGTGCTACATCAGCTTCTGACCATTCTGTGTCAAACATTCACTGTTTAAGAACATTAATTTCCATATACAATTAAGATGTCAAGGTAGAATTTCTTCAAGCAGAATAACTAAATACAGTGCTTTGAAAATTTTAAGAACTTGTTTTTTAACAAAAGAAGAAAAAACATGAAAAATATGCAGTAAATGATAGTAAGAAACATGGTACTTCTTAAATTTAGGGCTAGGCCATATACACAATTTGGGGCTTTAAAATAAAATTAACAAGTTGCCATGATGATACACACTTGCATAGTATACCTGTATGCATCTTTAAATCAGTTGCTTGCCATACAGATCATCTCACTACCACTGGGCTGTGTTCTTTACAAAACAACAGACTAAAATTTCAGAATGCATAGAGAAGCCAGAAGGTACATTTTAGGTAGTTGCTCTCAACAGAACTAATGCAGGCTGCTAATCAGATTCCTTAATGGAATCACTACACAGTCCTTTCTCCACATTCTTTAAGTTGGATGCTTTATTTAACAACAATACTTGGGCCCAAGCAATCAGAAGGTAAATAAAATTGATGAACGGTATCTGTAGCTTGCAGTTAAAAGTCAGGGATGAATGGATGGCTAAATTATATATTTTTATATATATATATATATAAATAAAATTACTATTACAAATCTAGTTTGTGTGTGTATATATATATATAGATTTGTAATAGTAATTTTTGTTCAGCTGTAGGAAATAAGCTGAAGATTCAAATTTTTCTACATGATCCCCACTAAAATAAACATGAGATCTGTAAGAGCATTAGATGGTATTCTAGCTCATTAGATTGAATTTAATATTACATGCCAGACTAGTGAGCTAAATAGTCAAAAGCCTTTTAACTCAATAATTGTTATAAATACATAAGCCAGACCAACAGTTCCACTACAAATTAGGAAGCGTCAATATTATCAGCTTGATGTGTTAAAGTGATTGCTCAGCTAATCCACCAGAAGCATGAACCCAACTTAGAAAATGCAACTTGGGAAAGGATCTGTAAAAACAAACAAAAATCACACACACACACACATACACACACACACAGATGTGTGTGCATATGTGCACACCCTCCATTCCATAAATATTTTCATGAAAATATGAATAAAACATTCCAAGTTATTGCACGTTATGTTTGATGTAAGGCAACAAAACCATTTTTAGAAGGAATGGGAAGGTGGTGAACAATGCCACAAATAAAGTTTTGCAATGGAAAGTAACATTCAAGCTACCCATTATCCTTCCAAGAAAACAAAACAACCAATTATGAACAAATGCAGCTACAGCAAAGTGCCACAGCATTTATGGTCCTCCCAATAGTCTTACCAGAGCTGTTTCAGCACTGTAATAATCATGGATAGGCAGAAGACAAACTTCCACAGTTAATAAGGCTTCACGATAAGCACAATTATTTCTTTTAAGATGGACTCCACCACCACACAAGAAACATGCAAACGTTGGATGCAGATACTTGGCAACATCCACAGACAGATGTACTCAGTGCTGGTCTCAAATCCCCCCAGAGCAGTATCACACACACTGCATTAGTCTAAAGAGGATTCTGAAGTTGGCCATTATCTGCTAAGGCTAATAGGCAAACTGTCCCTGTACTTCTTTCTCCTCCAAATATTACGGTTGTGTTGGTGATGACCTCTGTTGCTAACTGGCTGCCTTATAGCTCCATTACTGGCAGAGCTGTATCCGCTCCCTTGATTATGATTATGAGCTCCTTTCACAGTAAACTTCATTCCATTGTGCTGCTGAAAACAAAGGAAATATTTAATATTATTGCCAACTTTTCATTAATGTTGTCCTATACAGTTCCTAAGTAATGAATTTATACTTATGAAAAAGCGACAAAGCATTCAGATATTAACAAACAAAATTTCCGAAAAAGTTCCATTCAGGAAAGTTAATATAGTACTAAATTACTTCAAAGAATTCGAGGACAGACAGACAAAGAAGATATTAGGCCTGCTGTTTTTGAATCTTAATGGGTCACTGCCTTGCAAAAAGAGCATTTTAGGAGAGCAGGAGGCAGATGAGGATAATCCTGTGTCATCTGTATTAGGAATGTACAGAATGTTTCATTTCTGAACCATTCTGAGTTAGTCTGAAACAGCTGTTTTACATTTTAAGTATGAAACATTTCAAATACGAAAGAAACAGTGCATCTTGGGCTCAAAATAGGGTCTTTTGAATTCAGAGTGATCTACGTATCATTATGTGCCATCCGCTTTCTAGGGGAAGGATTCTGATTACTTTTTATGTTAATATTCATTGCTGTGATTTCATTAATTTACATTTTTCTTACTCATATGCTATCTTACAAGGAGCTGTACCCTCAAACACGAGATACAAATAATTGAGATAGAAGTGGCATACTTCTGTGATCTAGATTACTGGATAACTTCCAGCACAACACACCACTGATTTGAATATTTTAGACATTTTTTTCTGGATCTGACGACATTACAAAACAGCTGTACTGAAGCCTAAACCATACATACTTTTGCTTTAAAGGGTTAGAAAGATTTATATTCTCCTAATTCAAAGATGAAAAAAGACTTGCATGGCAAAGGTTGAAATGTGAAGTTTTATAATCACTTTAATGGTAAGGGCTTCTGGATAATCAGTGACAGAGATTATTGACATTATTATCACTATTATTGACAGAAGGCTGATAGGGCAAGATCCTACTCATAGTTGAATGACATTATGGAAAGTAATTTTGTAGAAAAATAGCTAGCCCTTCAATCAAAATGAGTAATTGAGAATGAGTATTTATCTCTGAGTAGTCTTAGTTTGCTTATGAAACAAGAGTTAAAGGAATGCTTAATTAAAAGTATCAATAGAAATAGTAGACAATTTTACGCTGTTTAGTATAAATACATTTAGCTGGATTCCAATTATGACAGCAGCTTTTAATGAATGCTTTGAAGAAGTCTATATGTTTGTGCTCAAAAAACTCTCTGGAACCTGAGGTTTAACGTCTATGACCTATTGCTAATGTCCTTTTGTAGGGTGCTTGTGAGGATGCTACCTATAATATATCAACCCCTTGGAAGAAATTTATTAATTGGACCTGTTTCACTTTGGTTTCAGGTCTGGTTCTGGGACTGAATCAGCTTTAGTCATCCTAGTGGACTGTTTTTATGGGGAGGGAGATGATGAAAGCTTGTTGATTCTTCTTGATATCTTGGCATTTTTAATAATGGTAATTATGGCATCATTTTGAATTGATTTTGTCAATTAGGAGTCAGAATCAGGATTCAGAGGACAGCACTGAGTGACTGCACCTTGGCTAAGCTGTCCCATTCTGTCCTTGTTGCTATTCAACATCTATAAGTTACCACTGGAGGTAATTATTCACAGAACTAAAGTTTAATCAATATGCTGTTATTCCCTGAACGAGAGGATATATAACAGGATCTTCCTAAATATGTCACTGCTAGGGCTCTGCAGCAGTTTGGATTCAAGCACAAATTCTTTAAAGAAGCTGTGCCTTTTTCCAAGACTGAGCATCCTAATAACTAATAATGGAAGAACAAATGACTTCAATGGCAAGAAGTGTCTTTTTCAACTCCACCTACTCCTGGAGAAGCATAATCTGACCACTGGATTTACACATTAGTAAACCCAAGCTTGGATTATTAGCGAGTGATCAATTTATATTTAAAGTTAGCCTGGAACGCCACAACTAGTTTGTTAAAAAGGGTAACTGGGCATTTAAATAATAGAATCACAGAGTTGGAAGGAGCTATTTAAGCTATTAAGCCAATTTGCTTAATGCAGGAATCCAAATTAAAACATCCTGACAAATGAATGGCTGTCCTTGGCTTACACACATCCAGTGAAGAAGAGCTTACCACCTCCTTGATTAATAATATTCTGGCTAAGTGCCTTTACTATTAGAAAATTTTTCATAACATCTGACACAGCCTTCCTACAGCTTCAGGCAATTATTTCATGGCATACTAGAGAGTATTCTTTTTTTGCATTATACTTCCTCAATACTAGCTATCCCATTCAGAGATAAAGCAATCTGCAAATCTGATAAGCCTTCATTCCACCTTTTCACCTAACTCATTGTAGAGGGCAGATACTCATAATTAAAAATGTTGAAGAGTACTTGTCCAAGGATACCTCATTTCAATATCATGAGGAACTACTACTGAATACCTCTGAGTATGGTTTGCAAATCAGTTGTGCGCCTGCCTAATAAACTTAACATCCAGTGCATATTTAACTAATATGCTTACCAGATTCTCATGGAGTACTTTATTGAATACTTTGATTTGTGGAACTCAGGATATAATACGGTCACGACATTTATATAATCAAATTTTAACAGAAATACGCAATTTAAAATATGAAAACAGATTAGGCTTAGTCTGACAAACTTTTCTCAGAGTACAGTGGTACCTAAGTTCACGAACGCTTCTGTTCACGAACAATTCGGTTCACGAACAGCTCCGGTTGCAAAATTTTGCCGCCGTTCGCGAACGCCGGATCAGGTGACAAACAGGATCCGTGACCATTTTCCCTTCCGTGACATGTGGTCACGGCTTCCTGTAGGGAGGGGGACTCTCCCTCCAAGCAATAAC